AGTGAGGAATCCAACCTCCGGAATGCGCTCCGGGGTGACAGAGCTCACCGCACAGCGATGAGAGAGGAAGCTCTGCTGGCCTTTGGGCATGACTAATACCACAGCACAGCAATCCCTTGGTCAGGGTCCAGAATTCTGCCAGGTCTCCGGGTTTCAATGAGGACCTTCTGCTCTGACTCATGCCTGGGAATCATCATCCTCAGCAGTGGGGCTGTGTCGCAGTGCCGGGGTGGGGGGAGCTCCATCTCTGGGTACTGTGCCTTCTACCACAACAGGACGGCCCTGGGCACCCCATGCCTTCGAAGAAACTTCAAAGCAACAGCACGGCACCTCCTGCTAGCAGGGAGTGCTGATGAATAATAGAATGGACCCACCCACTCTCACTTTAATCTGTCATGTTCTATGGAAATTAAGCCTTTCTCTTACAAGCAGGCAATTTGTGCTCTTGGCATCTCCAGCGAGAGCGAGCTCTCAGCTCTTCTGCTGGGTTATTGATACCTTTTGTATAAAGCAATGCAGTGCCTAATTGGGCTCTTTGCCTATTCCAACGCGCTTCCAGCAAGCAGAACCTACAGCAGCCCTTAGCAGAAAGCAACTCATGGTGCTGTGGGGAGAAGCTGGGCACGAAGAAAACACATCCTGGGCAAACAGGCACCACTCCCCTAGTGGCTCACAGGTGCAAGCCCGGCTGGCTCACACAGGTGTGTTTTCCTTGCTCTGATCTGGGCCAGGGCTATAAACAAGCAGGCAATCCCTGAGCAAGAAAGGGCTCCTTGTGTGCTGCAAGCACTTGTGCCAAGCTGGGGGAGTGCGGGGGTTTTATGCCCCTCCTTTCCCGTGTGTTAGGAAAGCATCTCGCTGCTGGACCTTGCATCCCTGCCAGCCAGAATGCAGCTCTTTGAAGAGGCTGCACCTGGAAGGAAAGATGGTAAAGGGCTGGAGAGAGCTGGGGGTGCCCACAGCCGTGGGAGGGAGTGTGGCACTGCGGTGCGTGGGGCTGCGTCTGTGCCCAGGTGGTGCTGGGAAGAACTGTGCCTTTTCATGGAGCTGGGTGAGGCTGGAGGTGATGCCTGCGCCCTGCGTGCTTTGAGGAGTTGGGGGGTGCTGCGTATCCTGTGATAAACTGCCTCAGGAATGAGGGTGGGGAATCCAAAACCAATAGGTGGGGGGAAACCAGTGCCAGGGTCACGCTGCAGCAGGGCCAGAAAGCAACTCTGTTAAATGCTAAAATCCTTCCTTCTGCCACTTTGGGTCCTTCTCTGCTTCAAAGGGGTTTGGAGGTAAGGAAACTGATGGTTTGTTTTGTTTCGTTTTTTAGTTTTATTATTATTGTAAATGAAGCTTGACCTTCTGTCAGGGTGAAGGACAAAGCCATATCTACCCATGGAACTTGAACTGTGAGAATGGATGGGACAAGGCACAAACCATCTGTCTACAGCGCCCTCCATCTTCCCAACCAAATTCAGGGGGGTTCCTCACACCTAACCCATGGTATACAGCATCTCCAGCAGCACCAAGGGGCACAAGGGAGAGCCTGGCTTGTGCAGGGCTGGATATGGAGCCTGGAAACTCATGCCTGGGGCAGGAGGAAGAAGGAAAGCACCCAAGTGGAGTGGAAAGCTTGCTGTAAGGCATGGAAGGAAGGAGCCATGCCAAACCCATAGGCTCCTATCCAGCTCTTCAAAGTGAGCATGCCAGTCATTACAGAGGGGAGGGAAGGAGAAGGTGATGAACAGCAGTGCACAGAGCTGGGAAAAGGGAGGGATGCTGTGAGGGAGTGAGGCCAATGGGTTGGGGTCTGCCAGAGGAAAACAAATGTGAGCAGGAATGTTTAACTGACTTCAGAAGAGAACCCCCAGAGTCACTGAGATGTGTCACTGGGGTTCAAGAACAGAAGAAAAGTTCCTTACCCTGAGACAAGCAGACTCTTATTTAAGGATTTTACTTGTTTCTGTGGTGCCAGGCAGCCAGGAGAGGAGCAAGGGGAGCAGCAGCAGCAGCAGCAGTAGGAACAAACCCTGGCCAAGTCCAGAGAGGCGATGGTTTACATTAGAGAAGGCTCTAATGTTGCATGATGGCCTCTAAGTGTGTTTTGATGATGATGATGATTATTTTCAACTGAGCAAATGGCAGGAACACGGGCAGGGTATTGGAAAGCCATTTGGCTCTGAGAACAACATCCAGTGGTGCTGCTGAGCCCCTGCCAGAGGGACTGCTGCTGTGCTGCAGGGACTGCTCCCTGCGTCGGCAGCACGCTGCTCCCCACTGCTGTGACCATCCTCACTGTTTGGGCAATGACGAGGGTTGCATAAGCAGGAGTCAAAGTCAATTTGCTATTTTCTCCTCTCTTGATTTCAGCTTCCAGGGAGCAAAGGATGGTGTGTTTAGAAGCTCTGTTGACACCCCTCTCCCAACAGTGAAACGCTTCTGAGCTTTTCCCTTTGCAGAACAGCTCGCTGGAGAGCCCTGCATTCAGCTCCTCACAGCCTCACACTGCCCTGTGATCCCTTTTCCCCCTCTAGACAAAATAACAAGCTCTCTCCTTTCTCAGGACCGCACGCTTCTTTTCCAGACTTGCCTCAGCTCTTTCATCACGCCAATAAAGAAAAAAAGCCAATGCATCACACGTTGGCTGCGGAGAGCGGAAACCCTTAAACATCTGAGAGCCGGGAGCCAGGCGCTGTGATTTGCAAGGCCCCCTCTGCCCTCGTTGGGTCAGATGCCTCTTGCTCTGAAGGAAGAGAGAGGGGATTTGTTAAAACCTTGCCTATTTCTCAGTCTGAGGTCCCGTTTTGGCTGTCCGGAGGCTGAGGCGTGAGCTGGGAGTGGGGCTGCCGAGGGGGCAGGGCAGCGAGCCTGCAGCGTGCAAACAGATTGTGCAATATTTGCCTTGCACAGAGCTCCCATTGTACAGCCTGGGAGTTCTGCTTTCAATAATTCCCCTGCTCATAATGCCTCATTGATGGCGAGAGAAAGGCAGTATTGAGCGCTGAAGGGGCTCCGGCTTTGAAAAGGGTTAAAAAATAAAGAAAAAGGGGAGGGGAGTGGGGGGAAAGGAGATTTGAGGCTTAGTTTTAAACTCTGCTGTGTGGCCCTTATGGTAAATCGCAGCCGCTGAGAAGTATGCAGAGAGCTGTTTGCATAACCCGGTGTGCAGCAAATGCTCTTGAAGCCCAAACACGAGTGCGGCCGGAGCTGGAGGTGGTGGGGAGAGAAAGCAGGAAGGGCTGTGATTATTTTAATTCTTGCCCCAGGCCACATTAAATTAATAACGAAAAAAAGAAAAGAAAAAAAAAAGAGCGAATATCCAAATATTTGGTTAGAGAAGCAGCTGTGCAAATGTGAGCCGCTGTGCCAGCTGCAGGGACATTGGTCAATGCTCACCACCTTGTGCTGATGGCTGGGGAGCATCTCGTGTGCTGCTCCGGGCTGGAAAGCACCAAAAGGAGCCCCGAAGCCTTTGTCTGGTGGCTTCACCCATCGCTGCTGTAGAGGTATGGTCTCAACTGGAAAGTGTCTGTAGGTGCGTGGAAGCGCTCGGTCTGGGGGATGCTCTGCGTGCTGCGATGCTGCCAGCCCTGCAGCTCTCACCCCACGGGGCTCCCATTGCTGTGGGCTGGCAGAACTGCCAGGCAGATGCAGGACCGAAGCGGCTGAGGGCTTGGACTGAGAATGCCAACATCAGCAGCTGTAGCCAGGCGGGTTGCCAGGGGAATCCTCCCTGTTGTGCAATGCTGAAGCTCTCCAAGGATGCTCCCAGCTCTTGAGACATCTCAGAGCGAGACCGGGCAAGTGACTGCCGTCAGTTCCCAGCAGTGAGAGGAGTGACTACAGGCCCTGAGCACTTTTTCCATGTGTGGAGCTTGTGATGCATTAATCACCTCTAGAGCAGCATTGCTGCTGGCTGCAATCGTCCTGACCTGAACCTTAGAGCTCTCGTTTCTTCCTCTCCCTTCTCTTCTTCCTCCTTCCCAGCTGCTCCCTTCTCCTGCCTCCAACAATCCCAGCAGGGCTGCTCTGACAGCACCATTTACACATGTTAGGTGTTAGGAAAATCTGACACAGGGAGCCAGGGGGGTCATTCTGCCTAGAGGTGTTCAAGGGGTATGGAGATGTGGCACTGAAGGATGCAGTCATGGTGGGATGGGTTGGGGTTGGATCGTAGAGGTGAGTGGGGACACCTCCTTCCTGAGCAGCACCCTTTCATCAAGTCCAGTTGTTTTCTACAAAGAGGGAATTATTCAAAGCTGAGGAATTCAGGGGAGAGCAGAGAGGCGTGCGGGGGGAGAGCAGAGAGGCGTGCGGGAGGAGAGCGGTGCAAAGGAGAGAGGGGAAGGGAGGAGAGGAGCAGCAGAAGGAAAGAAAGATGAACTGATGAACCCCCTTAATCAAACCTTGCTGAAGGGTTGCAGGGAAAGGCACAGCCAAGTGCCAAACGTCCCCACTTCTGTGCCCTAGCATGCCTGATGTGGGGTGGGGGGGAGACGTGGGATGGGAGGGCTATGGGGGAGTGTCTGGGGCAGAGAATGTGGGGACGGCCCAGGGAGGAGATGTGGAGGAGGAGAGCCCAAGGAAAGGGGTGTGCAGGGGAGGGGATGTGGAGGGGCTAAGAGAGCAGAGCCCGGGGGGGACACAGCAGGGGGAGGCCCAGGGGAGAGGGTGTGAGGATGGTGGAGGGACCTGGCAAAGGGAAGTCTGGGGGAGGGGGGAGTGAGTGGGGGGCCCACAGAGGGAAGGGAGGGCATGGTGGGGGGGGGGCTCAGAGGAAGGGGACAGGGGGCCCTACAGAGGGGAGCCTTCTGGCTCAGCTGCTCCTGGGAGCTAAAGCTCTGCAGAGCCATCCCAAAGCCCACACTCAGCCCTTGCCATAGCAGCCCTGCGGTCCTGAAGTCAGACATGGGGTGTGCATGGGTTGAGGGGAAACATGCTGGGTTGCACTGTGTGTTGGGAGCCCTCCGTTCCCATCCACACAAGGGACATAATGGTGCCAAACTGCTCACCTGGATCTGTGTTCTGTGAACAGTGTGCGCTTCCAAACTCCCTGTCCTGTGCCAAGTCCTGCCCTAAGGAAAATTAAGGAGAGAGGTGTGTGCCATGCACAGTGCTGTCCTGATCCCTCATGGATGCAGACCCTGCAAAAGGAATTATACAGGAGTGTCTCTCTCAGCTCTCCCAAAACTCCCCCAAAGCACTGAGGCAACAATGTAGCCCCTTGTCCCAGTACCCACACCTAGATCAGCACTTCTGCATGGGCATGGACACCTACTTTACACCAAACCCTGCCCTGGGCTGTCTGTGACCATGGCACTCCCAGTCCCTCTCTACCTCAGTTTCCCCACTTATAAAATGGGTGCAGCAGTCCCCATCCCATAATACATACATATTCCTAATCTTCGGCATGCCCTGCAGCGGCCTGCTTCACCACTGGAGACGTCCCGACAAGTTTCTGCAGCTCTCCTTTCTTTGCCCGTGCGCTATCTGCACGGGGCTGGACGGGTGCCGTGGGGCTGCGGGTCGGGGCTGAGCATCGCAGCGCAGGGGCCGTGCTGCGGAGAGGCGGGCAGCCCCGCTTAGGACCCTGCACGCTTTGGGTTTTCCCAGCTTTTTCCTGGAGTCGCTGAGCGAGCGGGGAGGGGCCGAGCTTGCGGCTCCCCATAAACCTGGACGCTGCGCCCACGGTCCGGGCAGCTGTGCGGACTCGCGGTGTCCCTCGGAGGCTGCGTCCCCGTGTCCTCACCCCCCGCGTGGCTCTGCGCAGCCCTCCTGCCCAACCCACAGCGCTGAGTTTCCAGACTGAGAAAGATTTTGGGAGAAGAGAGAAGAAGAAAAAAAATAAAAAAAAAAGAGGAAAAAAAGAGGAAAAAAAAAAAAGCCATGGTGGTGTGGGCTGGTCGAGAAATTCTTCGGGAGAAGACGGTGAGAAAAGGACACAGCGGCTGTTTCCCAAAGGGTGAGGAAGGGAGCGCGGCACCGCTGGGCTTGAACTTTAGCACCCTCTTCTGCGGGAGTGTAAGTAAAAAGATCGGCTCATCCTGAGCCAGAACGGCGCTGGGGAGGAGGAGAAGGCGGACGCTCACTGCGGAGTGGGTTTTCTGTGCTGCTTTGGAAAGCAGGGGAAAAAAAAGAAAAAAGAAAAAAAGAAAAAAAAGAGACGCGTTGAGAAGCCAAAGAGTGCTTGTAGCACTCCGAGTTGCTTTGGGGCTGTTCCTAATCACCGCGTGAGGAAAGGAAAGCCGTGCATGTGGGTTTGATTGGAGCGGCGCGATGCTTGTTTTCTTTTGACCGATCGCAACCCAGCCCCGCCGCTCCGGGCTCTTTGTGTGCGTGTGAGCGTGCCTCGATGGGAGCTCGTCCCGCTCCACTCCCACCCGCCATCCCCTAAACTGGGGGCTGTCCGAGGAGGGGACATCCCCACGTGTCGCTGCGATGCCGGGGCTGTAGGTCGCTCTGTGGGCAGCACGCACCGCTCTGGGATGGCTGTGTACGCCCTCACCGGCTTCTCGCTGGTCAGCCTGCTCAGCTTTGGCTATTTATCCTGGGACTGGATGAAGCCTGGCTTGGTGGCCGACGTGGCTACGAGCCCCATGGAGAAATCGCTGCCTCCCGCCTTCACCCGCCCGCCGCACATCATCTTCATCCTGACCGACGACCAGGGCTACCACGACGTCGGGTACCACGGCTCTGACATCCAGACACCCACCTTGGACAGGTTGGCAGCCGAGGGCGTGAAGCTGGAGAACTACTACATCCAGCCCATCTGCACACCGTCCCGCAGCCAGCTGATCACCGGCCGGTAAGCCCCCATTGCTCCTTCCTATACGGACCTCTCCTCTCCCATAGCTCTGCAAGGCTCACGCCCCGCTCATCACAAGGCACGTATCCCCATATGTTGGTAGATACTTCATCGCTGCTGGAGTTGGACTCATGATGGATCCCTTCCAACTTGGGTTATGCTATGATTTTGTGCTGGAGATCCTCTAGAGAAAAGAGCCTTCCTGGCCCTGTTGGGTAAAGAGTTGATTTGTGCGTGGTTTTGTAATAGCACGTGGCAGGTCACCAGCAGTGAAAATGTTGCTCCTAACAACCAAAAGTCACTTTGAGAAAAGGCAGTCCCTGCCCATGAGGTCCTCTGGTGGTGGGGCGAGGTGTCTCCACTTGGATGACACTGCAGACTTTGGGTTGGTTTCTTCTCACGTGCGAATTGGCTGCTGGGCTGTCAGGTGTAAGGATGCTCCCTTGCACTGCCAGCTCTGCCTTAGGCTGTGCTTTTCCTGCTGCTCACTCAGTCTGCGCTGAGCAGGGCAGGGTGGGTGGAAGGTTTCTCCATCCCATTGGGCACATCCTGGTTTCCTGATCATGAGTGTTTTAGCCTCCTGGGAACTGATGGGGCTTTCCCATCAGTAAGTAAGACTGGGGTGACCAGTAAGACTTACTGGAGTAAGACTGGGATGATTTCCCTGCCCTGCTATGATTTCCCAGCATTTTCTGTAGGAAACATTTAATCAGCATCCCTCGATGTGGTGGCTATGGATGTGGTCACCTACTGCCTGGGGTGGTGGAGCTCAGTGGGGTCCAGACAAAACCCTCTCCTCTCTCCTGATGGCTCCAGAGGCAGCTCAGGCATCTCTGGGGTGTGCAAAAGAGGATGAGGATACATCTGCACTCAGGCCTGAAGTTGCACCAGGGAAGATTCAGGTTGGCTATTAGGAAAAATTTCTTCTCAGAAAGAGCAGTGATGCAGTGTTACAGCACCCCGGGAGTGGGGGGAATCACCTTCCCTGGAGGTGTTTGAGAACTGTGGAGCTGAGGGACGTGGTGGGGGGAGGTGTCAGTGGGCATGGTGGGGGTGGTGGGTTGACAGTTGAACATCTTTGAGCACTATTCCAACCATACAGTTCCATGGCGAAAAGCAAGAGCACATGGAGCCACCTCCTTCCTGAGCCAGCGCCCTTCTGTGATTCTATGATAAGGAGCTCTCTGTATCTGGCACAGAGTTGCTCCATGGCTGCGTGACACAGAGAGCTGCACATTACTGGGGTCTCCAGAATACAAACTGCCGCCATGTCCCACCCAGCATTACTCTCATCACCACTGATTTGGCTCTTTCCTGCAGGTACCAGATCCACACAGGGCTGCAGCACTCCATCATCCGCCCCCGGCAGCCCAACTGCCTGCCCCTCGACCAGGTCACCCTGCCCCAGAAGCTGCAGGAAGCCGGTTACTCCACGCACATGGTGGGCAAGTGGCACCTCGGCTTCTACAAAAAGGAGTGCCTGCCCACCCGCAGGGGCTTCGACACCTTCCTGGGCTCCCTGACGGGCAATGTGGACTACTACACCTACGACAACTGCGATGGGCCGGGCGTCTGCGGCTATGACCTGCACGAAGGGGAGAACGTGGCGTGGGACCAGAGCGGGAAGTACTCCACCTTCCTCTACGCCCAGCGTGTCAGCAAGATCCTGGCATCCCACAGCCCCAAGGAGCCCATCTTCATCTACGTGGCCTTCCAGGCAGTGCACACTCCGCTGCAGTCACCCAAGGAGTACATCTACCGCTACCGCTCCATGGGCAACGTTGCTCGCCGCAAGTACGCGGCCATGGTGACGTGCATGGATGAGGCAGTGAAGAACATCACCTGGGCCCTCAAGAAGTATGGTTATTATGACAACAGTGTGATTGTCTTCTCCACGGATAATGGTGGGCAGACGTTCTCTGGGGGAAGCAACTGGCCGCTACGGGGCCGCAAAGGGACGTACTGGGAAGGGGGTGTGCGTGGCATCGGTTTTGTCCACAGTCCTTTGATCAAGCGCAAGCGACGGACCAGCTGGGCACTGGTGCACATCACAGACTGGTACCCGACCCTGGTGAGTCTGGCCAGGGGCAACCTGAGCAACGTCCCAGGCCTGGATGGCTACAACGTCTGGCCTGCCATCAGCGAGGGGAAGGAGTCACCGCGAACTGAAATCCTGCATAACATTGACCCCCTCTACAACCACGCCAAGTACGGCTCCTTGGAGGATGGCTTCGGTATCTGGAACACGGCCGTGCAGGCCTCCATCCGTGTCGGGGAGTGGAAGCTCCTCACCGGGGACCCCGGTTACAGCGACTGGATCCCCCCGCAGACGCTGACCAACTTCCCGGGCAGCTGGTGGAACCTGGAGCGGCTGACCGACGGCTTGAGAAAATCTGTGTGGCTTTTCAACATCACCGCAGACCCCTACGAGCGCTATGACCTCTCGGAGCAGCGCCCCGACATCGTCCGAGCTTTGCTGACCCGTCTGGTGCACTACAACCGGACGGCCATCCCAGTGCGCTACCCTGCTGAGAACCCCCGCGCCCACCCCGACTTCAATGGAGGTGCCTGGGGGCCTTGGGCCAGCGAGGACGAGGTGGAGGAGTGGGAAGGTGGTGGTGGGGACCCCCCCAAGGGTCGGGGCAAGAAGAAGAAGTGCAAGATCTGCAAACTGCGCTCTTTCTTCCGCAAGCTGAACACCAGGCTCATGTCCAACCGCATCTGAGCGGAGGGTCCCCAGCGCCTACGCAGCCTGGCCAGGGTGGAGATAGAGATGGCAGTGCTATGGGGTGGGATGGAGGGAGAGGGATGGACGGGGGTTCACCCCGAACACTTCTGCACTTGGCCGGACCAGCAACCACAGAGAGGGCGGACAGACCAGCAGGGATGGGCAGTGCGGGTTCATGGCTGTGCGCAGCCCCTTCAGAGCCAGACTCTTCTTCTTGAGGACCATGCAGACTGTGAGCTCTGGCCGTGGCAGCAGCACAAGGGTGGGGGTGTGGGGCGTCAGGCCAGCCTCAGTCACTCTGGCTGCATTTTTTGCCTTGGTGTTTCTCTGTAGATACATGTTGCTGACTTGCTACATGCTGCTGAGAAGCTGCTTGGTTTGCTCTTGATCTAGGAACTCGAGGGCTTCCCCAAACCCAAGACAATGGCATTTCCCCTTTATATTTCCCTATAGAAGGATGGCTTCCTGACTCAGCCTTGCTGTGATGAGGTCCTCACCTTTGGCCATGGCTTCTCTCCACTGGCTCGGGGAGGCCAGGAGCAGCCCTGGAGCTGTGCCTGCAAGGACATGGTTGGAAGCAGTGCCTTGATGCACGCAGAGGACAAACGCTTCTGGACAGCCCTATGCATGGGAGGCAGCTTTGTCCCAAAGGTCCCCAGTAGTTCATCCCCAGCTCTGCCTGGTCGGATCCCACAGCTGCACAGCTGGAGGCACCCCTAAGTTCCTCTCTGTGCATCCTACAGCCAAGCCCAGGACAGACGAAAGACCTCAGGAAGATCTCATAGATCTGCTCCATCACCGCAGGACACGGAGCCCCGGGGTCATGGAGAGGGGCATCCCTTTACCCTCCCTTCACCATCCCTTCACCCTCCCCTTTCCTGCAGGTGGGCAGGATGTGCCACCACATCCCCTGGCCATGGACACAGCGCTGTGCCCCCGCGCTCCCTGCGGACGTGCGCTCTGACAGGAGCTGGCGCGGATGAAAGAGGGTAAATAGCTTTAAAAGCATTTTGGATGCACGGTGCATTTCCATTTACACAATGTGTTTTACATTTCTCCCCACAGGTTTCTCTTGGTGCAGCGCGTGTAGGCGAAGGCCCTGCTGTGAATTTTGAAAATAGTTATTTTTGTCTCTGGAAAATGAGGCCCGTTAGGACTTGTCAGCTCTTGGATGAGCAGTGTGGGCTTTTTTTTTTTTTTTCTTCCTTTTTTTTTTTTTCCCCCTCTTTTTCCTTTGCAAAATAACATTCATTTAAAATCTGTCATTGAAAGATGTGACAATTGGCAGCGTGCACACTGAATACCTTTCAGTGCGCTTTCAAGCCCTGTGTGTGAGAGGGACGGGGACGGGAAGAGAATGCAATGACACGTTTGTATTTTTTTTTTTTTTTCTACTCTTAGCTGGATTATTTGAGGGAATTGGGATTTTCTGTAGAAGTAAAGAAAAAAAAAAACAAAACTAACAGCAAGGCATCCTGCAGGAGAGCCTCTTCTTGTAGAGGTGGGAAGGAGTTCGCAATGCTGGGGCTTGGCTGTTGGCGCAGCTGGCCCTGCTGCTCCATCCATCCACCACCACACTGCTGGCCCAAGGGCACCCAATGCTCTCCAGGACAGGACCCATAGGGCACTCAGCTCCTCCGCATCCCTAATGTCCCATCTCCATCCCTGCCTCATCCAGCAAGGCGCTCTGTTGCTGCCTTTTGGCCAAGCCTGTTGGCAAGTGGTTGCCAAATTTAAGGCAGGAGGAGGATGCTGAGAATCACACAATCATTAAGGTTGAAAAAGAGTTCTGAGATCATCACATCTAACATGAGATCAACACATCTAACCCTGTCACCCTTATTGCCCAGTAAGCCTTGGTCCCTCAGTGCCACATCTACGCATCAGCATTTGGACTGAGACTCACCTGAGATTCTGGGGTGGGCAGAAGGAGTGGGGCTGGCTGTGGGGCGGTGGCAAGGCGTGTGGAACAGTTTTCATTTCCATATTTATATAAACATGTCCAAGTTTAGTCCTTCCTTTATTTCATTTTTTTAATTATTTTTTCAAAAATGGAAATTTCCATGAAAGCACGTTTGATGTTTCTCCAAATGGTTTCAATAATATCTCATTGAAAATGCTCGTCTTGTCTCATCTCCAGCTCTGATCTCTGGGGCCAGTGCTGGTTTTGCACAGTCAGTCTAGCCGGAGTTTGGGGTCTGAATTCTCAAATAAATAAATAAATGAGAAAGCATTCTGAATTCTAGAAGGAAGAAAAAAAATGATGGGAAAAAAGCGTTAGTTCCTGAAAAGAGGAAGAGTGGGCAGAGGTGTCTCTGGGTGCTGGGGAATGCAGAGCCTGCCCCCTGTCCCACCGCTGCTCGTGAATGGTCCCAGTTGGCTTGGATCCAGCAGTGCAGCTCTGCAACAAGGAGGGAGAAGCAGCAATGTGCCAAAATCCTGTGTTTTCACGCCATTCATCCCCCCCTGGGAGAGCTCATGGGCTCCAGGTGGGAAAGGGTTAACATAGCTGATGGGCGAGACGCTGCTGAAGTGGCTTTGGAGAGCTCTTCGCCTTGCTGTGATGCTGCAGCACAGAGATCTGTTTACATAGGGACGCCAAGAGCTCAGTGTCCCACTCTTGGGAGAGTGCTGTGAGCCCCGGGCTGGGAAGTAGGGCAAAATACGGCCCTGTGGAGGGATGGGCAGGGGATGGAATGGGATACGGCTGAGGATTGGCATAGGGAAGGGGATGGAAATGGGTTTGAGGTTGGGAGTGGGGATGAAGATGGTGGTGACAGGATGGAGATGGTGTTGGAAATGGGATGGGGTAGGATGGAGTAGAACAGAGACATGAGTGGAAGGAGATGGGAATGGAGATAGGATTGGAGATGGGATGGGAATGGAGGTGGGGAAGAGATGAGGATGGATGGAGATTGGAACTGGAATGAGGATGGGAAAGGGGATGTGATGGGATAGAGATTTGGCATTAGAGATGGGATGGGATAGGCATGAGGGTCGAGGTGGGAAGGAGACAGCTATGGAGATGCTGATGAAGATGTGGTGCTGATGAAGATGAAGATGCAAGCAGCAGGAAAGAGAATGGACGTCTCCCAGCAAACTGCCACCTGGGAGGACAGCAGGGCACCCTGGGCACCTCTTTCTAGAGAGAAGCACAGACAAGGGGCTGACTCTCACTGCAGAACCTGGGATGAGGGAAAAGGTGGCCCTGGGCCCTCCCATCACACCAAAAGCAGTTTCTGTGTTGCTGCTGGCACAAGTGCTGGGGCCCACAGACCGTTTGCCATTTGCAAACACAACCTTAAATGTGAAAATGCTCGCCTTACCCAGGTATTTATAATCCTCACCTAAAAATAACCAAGAATTCAGCTTCCTGGAGGACAGCAACTGAGCATCCCCCAGACCCCAGCTTGCGTGTGAAACTGTCCCAGTAATTTTGGGATCTCTGCAGGATGTGACTCGGAGCCGTGCTTAGCATGTCTGTGAGACATGGCTGCAGGCTCTGTCAGCCCCTACAAGCCCTGTGCTGGGGGGTGGCCACTCTGCAGCCCCTCTGTCACACACCGGCTCCTCCTGAGTCCCTTGGACAGCTGCCTATCCATGCATTCAGGGCTCGGTGTGCAATCCTCAGTCAGAGCATCCTTCCTTGGGCCGGAACTGGAGAGCCCATGCCAGGCTGCAGAAAGGAAATATCTGCATATGGAGCTGAGGGACGTGCGTGGAGGTATTTCGGGAGAGGCAGGCGGGTAACGGAGAGGAGGGGGTGAAGGTCTCCATCAGGTGGCCAGACACAAGCACTGCTGGCGGCTGCATCCCAGAGCTGTGAAGGAGCAGATTTCTGGGTGGGAAAGGAGATTTCAGATAAGGGGATGCAGCACCTGTCAGTCAGCTTGGAGACGAAAACCCCCGCTTAGGAAGCAGCACCAACACCAGCATGGAGGCATCGGGGCAAGTCCTGTCCCCTTCCCACTATCACTGGGGACCCCATGCCTGTGCCCCAATGGTGGGAATTGGGCCCCTGCCCTTACGGCTCGGTGTGGGGATGAGAGCAGGTAATGGTGCAATTAATGGAAAAGCCATTAGGCCTTTCTCCTCCTCCCCCTCCTCTTCCTCACTCCGCCACTTGCTGTCCTCCTCCACTTCCACCTCCTTTCTTCTCTCCCTCTCTCCGCTCCTCCTTCTCTCTCTCTCTCTCCCCTCGAAGATTTCTCCCTATTTTTGTCTGGTTAGAGCCTTTTCTTTTCCTATTAACCCTTCTGTGGCAGCCCGGAAGGAAACTAAACCAATCTCATCTGCCCAAAGCAATGCCTTCCATTGAGAGACCCGGCTGCTGGGGCTCTGAGTGCTCCTTTTCCTCCTGCAAAAACAACCAGAAATGGGACAAAAGAGGGTCAGGAGTCCACAGGGTGCAAGGGATGATGCCTGCTGGAGGTGGGGTGTTGGCAGCAAAGTGGGTTTAAGGGAAAACCTTTCCCTCGAGGCCTCTGAGTACCACTTTTAGTGCTCTTTTCCAGTTTCTTTTTTTTTTTTCTTTTTAAATTTATTTTTTAATTAACTGAAAAACCTGTTTGTTTGTTTGGGTTTTTTTTTTTTTTTTTTTTCCAGCACTTTTTGCTTTTTTCCCTCTTTGCTCCCCTTCTGGCTTTGTTTTAGGCCAAGCCACTCCCGGGTGCCAGTGACTGGGGCCAGCCCCAATGAGAGCCCAGCTGCTGGCAGGGCGCTTACAGGGACCTGGGGAGCTGCCATCATTTTGCTGCCTTTGCCTGACACACTTCTGCTCCATCTGCTGCCACCGCTCTGCAGCAGCCCGTCCCCCACCCTGCAGCCCCCCAGGGACTCTGGTGCAGGGTACCAGCAGGACCTGCATTTGGGGGTGGGGGGAGGTAGAAATGGACCAGTTGCCAGGGCGACAGCATCCTCCTGCAACATAGAAACCACGGTTTCCATGGAAACCTTTTTGCCCCAGTTATTCTGCCACTGCCACTTCCTTCAATTTGCCTTTAAGATTTGCATTTTGGAGTTGCCCCCCTCCCTATGGTGGCTGTGAGACCCCCCAGGCAGCCCCCAGGGCCGGGTCCCCAGCAGGGCCGCGGTCCCCAGGGCGGGCGATGGGTTTGGGAAGCGGTTGCCCTGGCAACAGAAACAGGGCGTTTCTGGCAGCGGTGGTCACCATGGGGATGGGGATGCTGACGAAGGCTTGTGAGGCTGAGAAGACAAATTGCCCTCATCATTATCTCCAGGCTTGTCAATCAAACATATTCCCTTATTTACCTCGGCGAGGAGAGAGCCCCGGGAGCACACGGAGAGGGAGGGAGCGAGAGGAGAGCTGCTTGCTCCAAACTCCGCACCGGGGAGGGAGCATTGCCAGCCCCTTGGGATGGCCACCATCACCTGCAACCGCTTCACCGAGGAGTACCAGCTCTTTGAGGAACTGGGCAAGTAAGTTGGAGAGGGGCTTGGATGCGCCCCCAACACTCGGAGCAGGAGCGGGGCTGGGGAGGTGCCTGAGCAGAGCTGGAAACAGTGGATATGGGGAAAAGCAATGGGCACAGAGCGTCGGGGAGCAGTGGGGGGACTGGGATCGGGATGGGGTCTGCTAGTCCCTGTTCCATCTCCTCCTGACTTCAAATGCATGCCAATAGGTGCAGACCCAGTGCACCGCATTTTGGGATTGGGGAGGGGTTGGCTGCCCCTCTTACGGAAAAAAAACCAGCACTCCTGGAAGAGGATGCTGCCGGCTCCCCCAGTAACTTCCCCCGCTGGGAGGAGGGACGGGACAGCCGAGGGGGAAAGCCCCAGTGGTGGGCGCCCTCCGGTTCCTTTAGGGAATTTCTCTGTGCAGATTCCCCAGCGTTTGACTCATCCCGTGGGATACTCAACCTGCAGGGTAGCCCTTGTGGAAATCCCACTCAGAGCTGGGGATCTACCCACCCTGTCCCCCATCCCATCTGCATGTGTGAGTGCCCCATAAGGAGCCTCAGCCCCTGCTTTGCTGCAGGGAGGGCTCAGTGGGTCCGCGTGGCACTGCCTGCTGCAAATCAGGGTGTGTGCGTGGTGCAGAGGATAGCAGTTGGAGCAGTTCTGGGGGGGCACTGAGCACCCCGAGGTGGAGCAGTGTGCTTGTCCCAGCAACACACATGTCCTCAGTGCTGGGCAGCGGATGCTCCATGTCTCAGTGGGGAGAGAGTGGCTGTAAATTGAGTGTACAAGGAAGCAGGCGTATGCCTCTCTTTGGTTTGGTTTTGGTGCCCGTTTTTGCTGCTGCCCCAGAGCCGGGTGCCCCTGCTGCTGGCGAGGTGCCCTTTGTCAGATAGGTGTGTGGCTGTGGCAGTCTGCAGGCATGAAAACTTGTTCCAGACCCGCATCCCTGCATCGCCGGGCAGCCTTCGCTGAAATGTGCACCCATGCGTGCGAGGGCGTGCAGAACGGGGGCGAGAGAAAAAGGAGAGGACAAAGATGGAGAACTCGAGAGGCTGACACAGGGGAGGATGTTGTGCCAGGTGGGATGCAGCTGGTGCTCTCCATTCGGATGGTCGCTGCTGCAAACAAGTGCAGAGCAGCGCGCTGGTCCTGGGGTGTGCTGATGGGCGCATACATCTACTTGCAGTTGGGGCAGGTGCTGGGGGTTGGTGGGCAGCTGTGATTGTGGAGCGGTGACTGAGGAGCTCTGTGCTGTGCAGAGAGTCCCAGCTGATGCCGCAAGCAGAGTGCCCGGGACCTGGGGCATGGTGTGGCTTGGGACCTGGTTTTCCAGAGGTTTCCCAGCTTTTCTATGTTCTGTGGGAGAGCAGCGGTGCCCGCAAGGGATGCTGCTGGACCCGGTGCAGTACATGGAGCATGGTGGGGAGCTTTTGGGCTGTGTGTGACGGGGAGGCCTGGGATGGCAGCGAGGCTTTGCCAGATGGGGTGAGCACCCAGACCTGATGAGGCAGACTGGCAGATGCGTTTCTCCACTTTCACTAATTAATGAGCAAACCTTGCAGCAGTAGCTTGCACCCCAGCCAGCCTGAAGCACTCAGCATCCCCTGACACAGAAGCAGAGCAGCTCAGCCCAGAGCTCTCACAGCTCCGTGCATCCCACGACACCTCCCCTTGGTTCGGCAGAGGCAGGTATAGGGCTGAGAAACGTTCCCAAGTCAGAGCCCTTGCTGACCTGTCAGTGTAATGTGGTGCAGGTTGGGAATTTTCCA